ATGGGGGGGGAGAGTGAGGGGGGTTGTGTGTACATGTATTTGTAGGATATGAACCATTTCCTGCTTAACCAGCTCTATTCCTTGACCCCCCTCTGATTAATTAGTCTTCAAGTTAAAACAGAATTCCAGGCTGCACCAGGAATTGCAACAATCCTGACCAAAATTATAATCTTTATATTTAAAGCCATTCTGTCAAGCATTACTGGAACCAAAAGAAAACACCACTCGCTAATGACAGAGCAGAGAAACACATGCACAAACCAGAATCCAACTGTCAGTAAATCTTGCATGTAATAAATGGAATTAATTCAATTACTTCCTGTTAGTAAGCCATTTGTCAAAAAAGCCCTTGGTACTTCATGTGAAGAGCTCATTAGCCACTAATATTCTAATGGAAATGGAAATCAAACAAGCCTTCAGATTCCAAAATGTGATTTTTCAAGACAAACAAACAAGCAGGTTATATAATTCAGACGACGTAGCAAACAGATCCTGGAGCAAGTACAATCCCCCATGTACAATGTACACCCTGGATTTTTCTTTTATATATGTGGAGGAGGAGGAAGAACTGATTAAAAGTCACTGAAATAGTAACAAAAACACTTCAAATTATCAGCAAGTCAATTATCCAGATGCTACAAGGTTTACACTGCATAAGGCAACTGTTTCTACATCCTGGTACTAGAGCTCCTTGAAAAGTTGAACACAGGAGACCTTTTTGCCCCAAATTAAATCCAATCTCCTTCTCCCACCGAAAAATTACAGCTGGGAGAGGGGGCAGGACAAGACCAACATGACAGTTTTCTCCAGCAGCTTCTTGTTCTCTGTAAAATAAGACACTTCCTTTACCTGCAGACTTGAGAAGCAAGACAGGAGGAATGCAAACAGCCACCCAGCTCCTTGCAGCAGGCACTAAACATGCTGGGTAAAAGGGAGGGCAGGTAGAACAGGAATATTTACACTCTGGCTGCAGAGAAAAGCCTGTTTGTGCCTAATGTACTGAGGAAAACTGTTTAAGACCTGATCTTCCAAGCAGAACTATCATCCCACCCTGTAACGGTGCCAAGGTCAATAGCAGCCGGGGTGACCTGGCCAAAGTGCTGCTGGTGCCGGGTAGGACGTTCTCCTTTACACAACACAAGTAACATGCTTATATGATAAGGGCAACTACAGAAACACACAGAAGCTGGAGAATCAGGCCCCGCAGGGGAAATCATTACAAGTCCGACAACAGGGAAAGAAAGGTGCTTAGAGGCAACAGTCTTCCACACGTACACAGCAAGAGCACAACTAAGCCCTTACAGGGCCTGTCATGTATTACTGCATTTTTACATTCAAAACTATTTTTGAGCGTAGCCACAGTAGCTCATCTGACATCTCTGCAAAAGCCTTCACTCTGGTAGAAGAACTAAAAATGCTACAAAAACCTGGAAGGCACCCGATTCTGTGCCTGGAAAATAAGTGTTTTTCTAGGAAAAAAATCTTTCCTTTCTAGAATGAAAGCAAAGGAAAATCTGTTTTTGCTACATAAACTGTTAATTCTGTAAATGGGAATGCACCAAAATGAAGAAACAACCAGAAGGTTCAGAAGACTTCTCGATGCTTGTTGTGGATGACTGGATGAAGATGATGAAGTGGCTAACAGCTAAAATGCCTGTGATTCAGAGGAGGAAGCTGGACGAATAAATCAACATAAAGCAGGAATCAGAAACAGAAAGAGCATCAGCCAGATCGAATGGGACATGGACACTACACGGGTGCCCACCAGGCAGGACTGAGACAGCACCGGGCAAGAAGAGCAGTCGCTGCCCGCACAAGAAGGATCGATGCTCGTGGTTATCACTGCAGCCCTTTTCACCAGTCCAACAATTCCCTTCGGTTTAAGAAGAAGGTAGGGAGCCAGGCTATTACACCACTGTCACTAAGCCACACCGACTCAAAGCAAAGTCTAGGATTTTACTGACAAAAGGTCACTGGTGTGAAGTCACCAATGCACATGAATTGTTATTGCCTGGGAAAGCCCGGTTTTTGTGAAAATGCCTGGACTTCCTGCACTCCTACAAACACTGGCTACAAGCACCCGGGATTCCACTTACAAGGATCTGAGAGAGCCCGGGCACACATCTACTGTCACAGGAACTGGCTGCAGATATATTTTAGAAATCCCAAACAAACCCTAGAAATGTAAAACTTCAGACTGGGAGCAGAGAAAGCAAATTTGAAGAGAAAGAATTACAATACAGCAAGCCGTTCCTGATCAACCTCCAGCTGGGCACCTGTATCGCTCTACAGTAAAATCTGTCATCACCTTAGTGTTTTGGTTAAGTAGTTCTTTCTCCCCATTAAGATTTAAAAGGTGTGGCCCATTTTCAATACCCACGTATTTCTTATGCCAACTTTAAACACGGATATCAATTTCAAAATACATTTGGTATGAAAACTGTCCACCTGCTCTGACTACAGGTAACACCCAAGATTATTTTCCAGTCTGTTTCCACCATATATTTGACTGTACAGTATGCAGAGGCAGCTCCCTTTCTTGATGAAATACATCATACAGCAGGAGAGAAAAAGTGCTGGAAAACAGGAAAATGCAATGGTAAAAGCCCCAAGAATTGACCAGGGGATAAAGGGGAGGCATCCCATCTGAAACTAGTTTTAACTCTCTCTGTTTAGCTTGCTCCATCACAAGTTAACAGTGTCCTTCAGTGATTTTTGCCTGCAATTATTTCTGCCCAGCCAATGTAGGAAAAAGGTTATAATATGAAGCTTTTATACAGATCTTTTAAAAAATGCTTCAGTTATATGTGTGTAACTTATGACATACTTATTATCTGCTATGAGCAGGCTGTTATCTGCTACTGCAGATAAGGGCAAAATAACACACTGGTGAATTTGATTTCCTGTTTCTAGACACAAAATCCTTTAACATTCTCTTTCTTTCAGGGCATCTTTCTGAAAAGAAAAATCAGAGGGGCTCAGCGAAGGACAATAAGAATTATTAAGAACACTCAGATAAAAAGACATTGGAAAGGATAGATTATTACCTCGGAAAGGGGACAAATAAGGGACATGATAAAAGAATATAAAACAATGGCTGTTCTAGAGAAGATAGATGGGAGTTTCTTTTCCCATGTCTCAGAATACAATTAGGGGATAGCCTATAGCTTTGAAACTGTGATATTTTTAATCAAATTTTTTTCCCCCACACAATGAAGAATTAGACTGTAACCGATTGCCTACGTTTTTACTGCAGATATAAATCTGGCAATATTAAAAAAGGAACTGGAGATCTGTTTGAACAATAATATTCGGATACAACAGTTAATGTTTGCAATGAGTTATGGAAAGGAAGTTTAAGTCTACCCTTTCTGGGTTTAAAGGAATCCATGTTAGAGATTAAGCTAAAACCTTCGTGAAGAGCATTATCATCCCCCCCACCCCATCTGCCTTTTTGGCGGTTTCTTGCCCCCAAAACACATTTGGTGCAGTGCTTCTCAACCAGAGGGCCATAGGATCCTTTAGAAGGTGCCACACAATATTACCACAGCTAGATGTGCAAACACCTACACACGACTGTCAGGATAAATCCAGAGATGTCACATCAGAATCCACTGTGTTAAAAGCATTCCGACCTACTGCAGTCTTTCCCAGCTCTTTGCAACAGAAAACCTGCTCTATTATTTTTCTGGAGTCATGAAATGACTACAAGCTAAGAGCTGACATTTTCCGAGGGGTGCCTTGAGTCTAAGGTGACTGGGAAGCATTAATTTAGTGCCGTCACTGCCAGCATCTGGATGAGAAGGAACATGGACGGGTCTGCTAAGGACAGCACTCCTACTCCCCAGACTAGCTCGTCCACAGTAATCTATCAAGACTCCTATTAATGACAGAAAGTTTTATCTGGTAGAATATACGATTTTTCCACACTTAAATTAAGTGCCTTCCCAAAAGTTGGCAAGGTTCTTTGGGTAGATGTGATATCTTGTCATTAGATCAACTGAGTAATTGGAAAAAAGTTCTCTGGAAGCTTTCAGGCACAATCCGCCTTCTTCAGGCATCAGGAGTCTCTGCTGATCTGATATCTCCAAGGAGCGAGAGAAGCTAAAAGTGACAGGAGGTCAGTGAGAATGGAAATAGGTGGAAATTAGGAAAACAAAAAGGTAGAGACGGGAAGAAGAGCAGCGGCGGCGGGAAGCCAAAGCAAGTAAGGGAGACTACTGTACTTGAGTTTTCCAAGGTAGAAAAGAGGTTATCTATGAAAAAGTAAGTAGCTAGAAATTAGGAAGACAAAGGGTAGAAAAAGGGGAGGGGAAGAGAAATATAAAAGCTCAGGTCTGGCAGGTACCAAAAGTCAGCAGTAAACAAGTTGCACGTGATCATTTAAGAGCATTTACTGGACAAAACATTAGACAATCCAAGAAAAACTTGCCAGGTTACGATGATTCAACGTCTGACAAAGCACAGAACCTGTGAATCAGATACTACACCAGGTCCGTATGTCAGACGCTATGAAAGTCTCCTGGAGCAGCACCGGATTCCTGCACAGACCTGACTCACTGGGTGTCAGGCCTGACCCCTGGACTCCAGCGCAGTGTCCAGTACAATCACCGCTCGAGTGCTCCGTGATCAATATCCAGACTTGCTGCAATCAGTTTAAATCCTAACTGACAACTTTAGACTTGGAGCATTTTTATTTAGGATACAAAGATTAAAAGCATCCTTGAAGCATAACTTGGCTCAAGTCTGGCAACTCCTACCTCTGCTTCCAATGATACAGAGACTTTGCATACTAGCTTGAGTTTCAGGATATGCTGACTGCTTAATGCAGCTGGTCCAATAGAAACAAACTTTGGACTAAATATTTGTCTTCTGACACTAATGATTTCTCTGCCATCAGACACATGTGGTCTCTTGAGAGAGAAAACACTGTCCCTCTTCTCTGCTCATATGAAATACAAGTCACTTCTCTTGCTGGAATCCACCTCAGAACCACTACTCAGCTAACAACAAATTTACATGTGAAGGATTAGTTGAATTATTTTGATTTTGTGGCATATCCCCACAAGCCCAGAAATACAAAGAAATGAAACTCACTTTTCATAGTAGTTTCATAGTTTCACGGTTTCTAGGGTCGGAAGGGACCTAGTCCGACCCCCTGCCATGGCAGGAAGAGCACTGGGGTCAAATGACCCCAGT